TTTACACTTCCACTGATGAATGTTCATTCAAAATGAATTCCCACTATAGTTCATGAAGGTAAGTAGCATACCGGATAATTCAGGAATTTGACGAGGAGATATAAATGTTAATATTGTCGAGATCATTTGAACATACCCTATCCACATGGTCAACTAGATACTCTTCCTCTTCAGCGCGCAGATGATCGATGCAGTCGTACACGGCATCTTCGCTTTTCCCGGCAATGATAACGAGGTTGGGATCAGCTGCATCACGGGGGAAACGGATTTCAACTCCGTAATCTTCCATGAGCTACAAAAGACAAATACAAGCTCCACTATTATTGCACACCTCACTGCAGTCTACCTTCTTGAGATTCTTCCCACGAACACCAATCATTCGGGGATGGAAACCTGCATCAATGGACACTTCTTGCGTGAACATTGAGCGGATCTCTTCAATCATTTCATCGATTTCTGCAGCACAAGCGCGTGCTGATGCCTCATAACCTGTAAATTAAAAAAGAGAATATTTTCATTGCACCCTTTTTGCACAAACGTGTCCATTCCGTATTTATCATTTGGATTATTTTCTGGACTTCATTTATGATCTGATGAAGCAACTACACTCAAACGTAACAAACTAATTCAGACTCATCATCTCTGCAGTTGAAATTGATAAATTTGACTTAATAATCATTGTTTGAATCTGCCAAAACTCAAGTGAAGAGGAGATCAGAGTATGAAAGTATTGGAAAACTTTCACTAATCAAAATCATGAAAAAAGCAGTGATGTAGGATGAAAAATTTCAGTCCTGCATAAATAGAAAGTGGTATTGCCTAAAATTCTTACCTTGTATGGTGATCTGGTCTGATTTTTCCTCACCACGAGGAAGACTGATCTGTACATCGTGCTTAGCCCTGAGCGCATTTACAGTAGCTCCCTTGGGACCAATGATACGAGTGTGATACTCGGCAGGAACATCAATAACGAGTTGGAACGAACGAAGCTTCTAAACCATTTTTATCAT